AGGGTCACTGAGTTCTGGCCACATGGACTGTGGGCAGAAGTGATGGCCCCATGTCCAGACCTGACCCATGAAAAATCTCTCACTTCATCCTCAACCCTCTCTCTCCCCGCACCTGCCAGCTGGACATCTCTGCCCAGGGCCGCTGGGAAGCCACCTGTGACAGCAGCAGGGCCTCCGTCAGCCAGCTGCCCGTGACTCCCGGCACAGCCCTTGCCACTGTTCCTCTCTGTTGCTCACTGAGCTTTACAAGCCTGAGAAATTAACACCTAATCTGTTCAACACTGAGGTTTTAAGGGTTATCGGTTTTTGAAGCAAATTTATCACGATGGTTTGTTTTTTTTTAATCAGGCTCATCTTGGGCAAGTCTTTGAAAAAGTATTGTACTTTTCCACCAGTTTAGCAAACTGAGACAGATACATCTGTAAAAAGTTCAAACATCACCGAAATGAGCGGCGGTCCCCCATGCTCCCTGTCAGCTTCTGCAATGAGAGATAACCGGGATTAGAGTTTGGATAGATTTTTCTAGATTTTTTTTTTTGCTCTGCAATAACAGCATATTTTTATACAAAAAGCAGCACACGGTACATATTGTTCTGCACGGTTTCCTCTCCTTTGCAGCGTACTTTGACAACTTTCCATGCGTGGACACAGGGGTCTCCCTCATGCCCTTGAACTTGGACCTGGCATTTTATAACACGTGTACACTAAATGGATTTCACAAGGCCCTGTGTTCGTTAGTTACTGCTGTTTCACAAATTACCTGAAGCCCAGCCGCTTAGAACAACAAGCATTTATCATCTCAGAGATTCTGAGGGTCCGGAATCCGGGAGTGGCCCAGCTGGGTGGTTCCGGCTGAGCAGCAAGAATGGCCATGAACCACAGTAATGCCAGTCTCAGTCCTGGACTTGCTTTAGGCAAGTGAAAGGTGGGGCAGGACCCCCACCCCCACCCCCAATACACAGATGAGAAAACTGTGGCTCAGAGAGGCAGAGAGACTCAGGCTGCACAGGTGGTCAGTGACAGACCAGGAGCCACCCCACGTCCCCTGACTCCTCCCAGGTTCCCACAGTGAAGTGCTGGGCACAGAACACAGGTCAGCTCAGCCAGTCTCCAAAGAACCTGATGAGGTCAACTCTCTTTTTCCTCCCATTTGAAGAGGAAAGTGAGGCTCCAAGACACAAGGTATGAAAATGCTGCAAAAGCCACAGGCAGGCCACGGCCATGTGCAGGCTGGGGGCTGCTGGGGGCGCTCCAGTGGGGCGAGAGGAGAGAGAAAGGAAAGAGGAGGCAGGGCCTCGCGTCAGAGATTAGCTCGTGATGCCCCATTATCAAAAATTCATATCTGTGAGGCAGAACCAGAAACAGGATGTGGGTTTCCCTTTAAGGAGCTGTGCCCCAAAAGGACAAGCCCCATCGGAGACATTGAAACTGTGGGAGAGGCAGTGCTGCTAAGTGTTAGAGCACAGGCTCTGGAGTCAGCCAGGCTCCTAGCTGTGTGGCTGCAGATATGTGGCTTGACCTCTCTGGGCCTCTGTTAGGAGAGCTGGTTAGATGGCTGCTCAGGCCCTGGCTGGGTGGCTCAGGGCCTCCCATACACCAAATGGCAACCGATCAATGTTTCTCTCTCCCTTCCTCTCTCTCTAAAATAAATAGGAACATATTTTAAAAAGAAAAAGAAAGGAAAAACGAAAAAAAACAAAAAAAAAAACATGGGCAGGAGCACAGTGCTTGAGCTACAATAGGAGTTCGATAAACAGCAGCTGTTCCAATTAGCTCATCTTTTCCTTTAAAATAAATATTTTACCAAAAGGATGCCACACTTCAGTGAATCTAGAACATCACCAATGGCAACCTGCACCATCAAACACACTGCCAAGTATAGCTGTCAGGTGCACCACAGGCTGTAATAGATGCGTCTTGATTTTAAAGGTGTTGAAATGGGAATAAATGGGCATCTTCGAGTTGGTAAAATGTGATGTGTGGACGGAGCGCAAAGTCCACCTGTGCTGACAGGAAGATAACACACCGGCGGTTTCCTGTCTGCCCCGCCCTGGTCTCCCCACGGCCCTGGCCCACAGGCAACTATTTTCAACTCTGAGTTGGTTTTTCCCCAGCACTCACACATCTCCTATTTCCAAGAAGCACACAGCGCTAGCTTTTGGTACATTTGTTCAGCAGTTACCTCCTACCTGCTCTACCTGTCTACACTATGGGCCGGTTGTGATGAAGGAGGATTTAGCGCCCCTGCCTCACCCCCCTTTCCTCTCCTCCATCTTCCGCCGTGAACGTAATATTGTAATTAGTACAGACCTAGTCACACTTCAGGTTTGTACACTTCTTTATGCAACTCCCTGAATATACTCAATACCTCAATTTAAAAATTCACTCTTCCGCGTTCACATTTTTCTTATGTAAATAGTATTCATGGCTGCGCATGCATTTCCTTTCTTAGTTATTGTTTTTCCTGAAGTTAATAATTAGTTTTGATCACAGCTTTATTGAGATATAATGGATGAAGAGTAAACTGCATGTATTTAACATGTGCCACTCGGTAAGTATGGACATACATGACCACCCATGAAACCGCCACTGCAACCCAGAGAGTGACAGATCCCTGACCCCCCAGGAGTTCCTCACGCCCCTTGGTAATCCTGTCCTTCCACCCTCCCGGACACCCTACCCCACTGGGCAACCACTGATCTACTTTCTGTCACTAGAGATTAGTTTGCATTCTCTGGGACTTCCTACAAATGGGATCACACAGCATAAACTTGTTTTTGTCAGGCTTCCTTCATGCAGCAACATTACATATTTAGAGATTCATCCACATTGTTCACATGTCAATAGTTCACTGCTTTTTATTGCCAAGGATTGTGGTATGGACACACCAGTTTGTCAACCACTCACCTGTTGATGGACATTTGAGCTGCTTTTGCCTATCTATAATAATAAAAGCCTAATATGCTAATCAGAACAGACAACCTTCCGGACGAAGCCGGGGCTGCAAGGGAAGCCCGGGTCCTGGGTGCCAGAGGGAAGCCAGTGCTGGCAGCCGGGGGAAGGAAGGCCTACTCTTGTACGAATTTCATTCATCGGGCCTCTAGTTATGAATAATGCTGCTATGAACATTCCTGAACAAGTCTTTAGGTAGACCTGTTCTCATTCCTTTTGGGTAAATGCCTAAGAGGAGATTTGCTGGGTGTGTAGGAAGTGTAAGCTTAACTCTGTAAGAACTACAAAAGGCCCTGACCAAAGAGTTCAGCTGGTTAGAGCACTGACCCGATGCAACCCAAGATTGTGGGTTTGTTCCCCAGTCAGGGCACATATAAGAATCAACCAATGATTGTATAAACCAGTGGAACAACAATTGATGTTTCTCTCTCTCTCTAGCTCTCTCTAAAAATCAATAAATAAAAATTAAAATAAAAAAAAAGAACTACAAAATTGTTCAATTTCACTTTCCTACCAGCAGGATATGGGCGTTCCAGTTGCTCCATGCCCTCACTCACACCTGAGATTAAAGTTTAGCCATTCCAGTGGGTTATCATGGTAGTTTATCTCCTTGTGGTTTTCATTTGTACTTCCCTTGTGACTACTGGTGTTGAGCATCTTTTTATGTGTCTATGGTCCATTCGTAGAGCTTCTTCTGTGAAGTAACTGTTTAAATATTTTGCCCATTTTTAAATGGAGCTATTTGTCTTATTATTGAGTGTAGACATCATCTGTGTGTTCCGGGGACAAGTCCTTCGTCAGAGAAACATATTGCAAACATTTCTCTGTGGCTTGGCTGTTCATTCTCTTAACCATGGCTTTTAAAGAGCAAACGTTTGAAATTGTGATAAGGTTCAATTTATCAAGTTTTTCTTTCATAGATTGTGCTTTGTGTGTCCTAAGAAAGCAGTGGCCTTTTAAAAATCGTTTTACTGCAGCTTCAGTAGGGAGCTGCTTTACTGCAGCTTCAGTAGGCAAATTCTCCCGCCCTGTTCTTCCCCGAGCTGGGTTTCCTCCGTGGGAAATGCATCCCCTTCCATCACAGGAAGTCACAGGGACATGGTAGCAAGAGCAAGCGGATGCTGTTAGCCCTGCTAGCTTTCACTCCTGGCTCCAACCACTCACAGGTTATAGTCTTCGGAAAGTCTTTCACCTTTTGGGGCCTCAGTTTCCCAATCCAGGGAGTAAGGGAAATGTCCTGCCCTCAGGGGGAAGTGGCGAGGTCAGGGAAAGAGGCTTTGGGCTCCCCGGGGAAGCCAGTGGCCTTGGGGGCAGCTGGTGGGGGCCTTTCAGCCACCTCGGCCCTTTACTCTCAGGGCTCAGGTCTGACCGGATCTCACACCATCACTGCTTGGGAGGAAGACGGAGGCCAGAAAGGGAAGGGGAACCAGAATCACCAGCAGGGCAGGGCCCCTGATTTATGTCCCTAAGCTCTCTCCACACCCAGCGCCGCCTCCGGGCTAGACGGGCTGGGAGAACTGGCCACGTCTTCTCCCTGGGGTGGCCAAAGAGCCTTCTCCGCGGCAGGGCAGAACACCCCGGGCCTCCCTCCGGCCTCACCCATCCCCACCCTCCGGCCTCACCCATCCCCACCCTCCGGCCACACCCATCCCCACCCTCCGGCCTCACCCATCCCCACCCTCCAGCCTCACCCATCCCCACCCTCCAGCCTCACCCGCTCTGGGTTGTGCCCAGGCTGCTCCTGACTGTGGTTGTCTCGCGCCACCTACAGGACACAGGGAGAACGACATGCCGCACAGCTTCTCTGAGCCCAGATTCCTGAAACTCAGGGCTGGAAAGGCCCGCCGTGGACAGAGCGCCCCTTGTGGCCGCCCGGAGCTCTGCGCCCCGCGCGGCTCTCTCCCTGGGGCGGCCCCACAACCCCAATAAGGCAAGAATTACAGTATTGAATCAAATCCAAGACGCCTCCACTTGAGCGATGCATCGTTTATGTTTGTGCCACGAAAAAAGAAAAAAGCACTACCCAGTAAAATATGACACAACACTTCTTTATCATTTAGAAACTTTATTTTATACTCATGGAAGGTGTTCTTTTAAACTTGGACACTTTTATCATCTATTCCTATGGCGCATACATAAAAAGGAAACTATGACCAAAATAATTTAGCGAAGATGTTCCTGAAACTTCTGCACACGCAGAGTCTGACTTGACTGCATCACGCCTTTATTAGGAGTCTCTGAGGTCTGTTCTTCCAGACAGTGTTGTCCTGTGTCGTCAAGAGCTATTGTTCGGAGTATGCGCTCTTGTCTCGGGGATGTCCTCCCAAGCTGCAAGTTGTTGTTTTTTTAATCCTCATCCGAGGATATTTTTCCATTGATTTTTAGAGAGAGTGGAAGAGAGAGGGAAAGACAGAAACATTGATGTGAGAGAGATGCATCGATTGGTTGTCTCCTGCACATGCCCTAACCAAGGCTCTGGCCGGGGAGGAGCCTGCAACCTTGACGGGAATAGAACCCAGGAACCTTTGGTCCACAGGCTGATGCTCTATCCACTGAGCCAAACCAGCCAGGGCCCAAGCTGCTGGTTTTGATGCACACCTGCAGGTATTCACAAATATGTCATGGTTGCTACCTGGTCCCTGCAGTTGTAAAATACATCCTGATTCCAGAAATGTTAAAATGTGGGGTGGAAACTGCTGTTCAACAAAGTTACTGGGGTGCCTACTCTATACCCGGCCCGTGCAGGGGGCAGGAGACACAGCCCCAAACAAGGGCTGCCTCATCCCTGCTGGCAGGGAGCTCACAGTGCCACCTGGAGACAGACATCAAACAAATAATCACACAGACAATTGTTTAATGAGCACTGTTGTGCTTGGAAAAGGGTCAACAAATGGTCCATCTGGGTTGTA